GGAACATTTCTCAACAAGTTTCCCGAAGTAAACTCTCTTGAGAATTATTTTCTGAGTCCTACCACTGTAGGAAAGTTGCTCAAAACGCATGGCGAAAGCTCTAGTTTTTTTTTTGACTTTCACACAAGATGAGACGAAATTACTGGGATGCCAATATTTTAATGATTTGTGAGATCAACTTCAGGAACTACTTGCAGTCATGGGTGAATATTATTTAATGCATGAAGACTCAAAAATATCAGCGATTTTAAAATGATCATGTCTAGCCTTCGCAGAGTTCTTCAGACCGCTGACGAACACTGGGCTCGAAAGCGGCACACAGGTAGTGTTCATCAGTTTCGTCACAAGATTTCAAAGCGCTGCTTCAGGAAGTTCAAATTCGGAGCCCTCAATGAGTAGATAAACGGGACTATGAAACTTCTCGATGAAGAAAATGATCGGGTAATCTGTAGGATCGAGTGAGGCTACTTTTCGCGTTCTCTAAAGTCAGAGGCTTGCTCGGTGCAACGTTCCTATGCCTTTATGCGTTAGAGCTGAACTTCGTTGAAAACCCTAATATGCCTCACCTGAGTGAGTTTGAGCTCATGTTTTGAGGTCGTTCGCCAGGATATTTCTGTGAACTCCCGGTGATCCGCACGCGGTGCGTTGGTTGGACGTCTGAAAAACCTCATGAAGGCTAGATGTGATCATTAAATGTCATCGAAATAATGGCATCACGAATTTTGCCCAGCGTGTACAGGCCTGTGCACTCCTCCGTTGTGAATGGCTCCCCGACTTTCTTCACTTTTTTGGGCTCGATGGCGACGCGCGGCCGAGTCGATAGTGTTCGTGTATTTTGCGGTAAAATTTGAAAACGCACTCAAAGTGCCTACGCTGTGCTGATGGAGCGTTTTCAAATTTAGCCGCACGATTCGCGGGCACTACCAACTCGGCCGCGATTGCCGCGCCTCAGAGTATGAAGGAAGTCTGGACCCGTTGCGAATACGTTGTTTCTACGTATCACCCGTCCTCGATGTATTCTCGATCTCATGTCTTGTCTCTCCCACGGAGCCCCACATCTCTAGATTGTCTTGCAAACTCATCCATCGCTCAGAATTTTTTTCAGTGGGTTCTTTGTCTTTTCCCTTCACTGACACACCAATCAGCACCCACTGCTTTTCATGTGAACAGTGATTTCGCTTCTGCTACCGAAAAACACGCTTTCGATTAGACATTAGCTTTGTAAAGTGAACACTTTCAGCCGGATGGGGTCTTTGTATACATAGAAGTCGCTAAAGTAAGAAACTGTCGTTCTACGAGTTTCTCAATCCAACGCCCTGTTATGCTAGCTAATTGTGATAGGTAGGGCCTTTCGAAGTGCTCGGCACAGAACACCGACGTTACTGTCTTTCTAAGAGCTGAGGTTCCACCGAGAAAACAAAACAGGATTCCCTTAATTG